TTAAATTAGATTTGAGTTCACTCTTCACTGTCATCATGAACTTGGCTTCTTGTTTTAGGCAATTTACTTTGAAGTGGATGAAGGTTTTGTGAAGCAGATAAAGAAGTGGCTAGCTGAGATCAATGAGTAGCTTGTGGATTGGTGAGTATGCACAAAGGCATTTAAAGTGGGCACTGACTTCTCAGAGATCAATTGCACTTACATTGATGCAACATCCATCCCATCATAGACAAGTACCAAATATAAATTAGTCACCTATATATCCCTGAATAACTTTCACATGAGTGGAGAAAATGAGCTGCCAACCACATACAAAAGGATAAAACACACACATGAGAAGATCTGAGCCCCTTCCACATTAGTGGTGGATTTGTGAAGGGGGGTGTGACGTAGTGGGGGTAACTTGCTAGGGCTGTGGGCGACCTCTGCTGTCTGTAGCACGACCCAGCAGGACAGGGGATGAGTCATTATACAAAGGGGGCTCCAAACCTGTCTGACCAGCTATCCCCCAGGGAGAGAAACAAAGGAAGGTGGAAGGCCTGGGGGGCAGGGCTGGAAGAGAGTTAGTTAGTTTCTGTCTGGGAGCATGGAGGAGACAGCCTAGGGAAGGAGCAGGGGAGGAGGGCTGGGATTGTAGGGCCCAGCCACCCCCCATCTCAAAGGGGGGCACTGAGGCCTCTTAGCCGCAGTTCCTGTAACCAGATGACAGATGCTGTGCTGTATCCTGGAGAAGCAAGAAACTCCCTCTATTCTGCTGGCTGGTGGAGTCTGTTCGTGCCATTTTGGGGGTGCAGGACATGGGAAAACCCCAACGCACCATCACAGGGGGAGACAGTCCTTTCTCTCAACACAGATCCCACATAACTAAGGAGTCTATTGACATTAGCCATAGCCTCTTCTCCCATAAAATCTGAGCCCTCCTTCACACTAATGCCAATCAGTCTCCCAATGATGATCACATGTAGGGCCAGATTATCCATTAGGCACTATAGGCACAGTGCCTATGGCCTGCAAAATATGTAGGGTCTAAAAAAAATTAATAATTGACTTGAAAAGAAAATTGCTAAATCAAACTTAATAATTTGCTATCTTTAGTCAACAAAAAATGTACGGCTGTGTCTAGACTGGCAAGTTTTTCCGCAAAATCACATGATTTTGCGGAAAAACTTGCCAGCTGCCTACACTGGCCGCTTGAATTTCCAGAAAAGCACTGACGATCTCATGTAAGATCGTCAGTGCTTTTCCGGAAATACTATGCTGCTCCCGTTTGGGCAAAAGTCTTTTTCCGAAAGACTTTTGCGCAAAAGGGCCAGTGTAAACAGCACAGTAGTGTTTTCCGCAAAAAAGCCCCGATCGCAAAAATGGCAATAGGGCTTTTTTGCGGAAAACCGCGTCTAGATTGGCCACAGATGCTTTTTCGCAAAAAGCGCTTTTGCGGAAAGCATCCTGCCAATCTAGACGTGCTTTTCCGAAAATGCTTTTAACAGAAAACTTTTCAGTTAAAAGCATTTTCGGAAAATCATGCCAGTGTAGACGTAGCCTACAGGTATAAATATACAATTAACTATTAGGCATATAGGTGATATGGCATTTCTCCCTTATATATAATCTAATTTAAAGGCATATGATTATGAGAGTGCCTAGTGCCTATGAAGAACTTAGTCCAGCCCTGACCACATGTCCATGAGTGGGTCCAAGATCCCTTTGTACATTACTAAAAAGAGGGAAAGTTTCATCCCACTATCTCCCTCAACATGAGTATCAAGAATAATAATCATCAAATTTGAGGGACTGAAAAAACCTCTTGGATGTATGTTAGATGGTCTTGGATATTCACTCCACATGCAATGGAAAACTGGATTGCTAGGGGAAAAACTTCTTCTACATGAAGCAGCATTCAGTGACTAGCAATAACTGACTTGAAAAAGCAAGTAAAATTCTAACTAGCAGACTTACCCAGATTTTCCAGGATGCTTCAGAGCAGAGGGTAGGCAGTGTGGGGGGAGGTGCAGGACTCAGGGCAGGGCCTTGAGGGCGTGGAGGAGTGTTACATGTTGTTTGTCTGATAGCAAACCCTATTCTCTGGCCTGTCGACATCCATGTAGTAAATGTATGGAAAAATAATTACTGGGTAATAGCACAATACTTGTTATTCCTTGGAGTAACTGGAGGAGTGCAGAAGGCTGGAGGTGGGGATGGGGGGTGAGGAGGAGTTCAGGGAGGAAGGTCCCTATCCAGCAGGGACCTTTTTTCTCCCCTCAGTCCCCCACTTGGCCGCCAGGGACCTTTTTTAACCCCCTAGGCCTCCCGACTGCAAGGAGCCTTTTTTCTCCTCCCTTCTGGTGCTGCAGCCAAGGGTTGGGAGGTGAGGGGGAGGCAAAAGGGTTTGGAGCAGAGGGGTCACTTGGTGCGCTGTCAGGCAAGATGATAGAGCCCCAGTCCAGCTGTCCACTCCCTTGGTAGTACGACTGTCCCTGGTGGACACTCTGCAAGATAACTCCCTTCTGCAGGCTCGCTGCCCCCAGTGGCCCTTCTCATATCACATCCCTCCAAATAGCCCCTCCCTTTGCATTTAAGGAAAACAGTCCTTTTCCCAGGCCTTCCAGTTGTCCTGGCACAACCAAACCCTGACTAGGAATGTAAAATCCCATTTAATTGGTATTGCTTAACTGGTGTAAACAATTAACGGAGAGGGTAGGCAGAGGTGGAAGGTGGAATGGAAACCCGCTTTCCTACCTATTCTAGTCACAGCACAGCACCTACCTTACCATTGTCATGCTTTTTGTAAGTATTGGATCAAAAAAGAGTTTTAAGAGATGGTGTAGATTTTTATAGGGACCTCCTCCCTGATCATGCGGGACAGCATGGGAGAAAGCACGAAGGTGGCTGCCTGAAAATTTAAAAAGCGAATGATAAAGACTGGCCCTTAGTGGTGCTTTTGATTTAGACTGGTGTACAAGAAAACAAAACCTGTACAGATATAAGCATAAACTCCTATTGAATAGTGAAAGTTATGCATACTCAGTCCTCTGTATAGCCTAAGAAGAGGTACAGACGTCAGCAGTGATAGCTGCCTCACTTTACTAATGTGTCTCACACTTTGGCTTTTCTATTGAGATCAGAGAAGAAGAGTACCACATATTGCATAGTGGTATTATTAAATACACAGAATCGCAGGGCCTTGAGAGGTCATCTAGTCTTCCAGTACCCTACACTCATGGCATAGATATAGCATTATCTATACCAGTGGTTCTCTATTTTTATGGCCCCGAGCTCAAAGCAAACCTTTCTGTGGACCACCAGTTGCTAATGGAAACTCACCATTAATTACATAATTATGCCCAAGTCATTTTGCTAGTGCTGCAGCTAGAGAGAATGGTTTAATTTAACCAGTAAGAAAATATATTAATTTAAATTATTGAACAGATTAAGTACTTTAACTGTCTCATGTTAGTTTATCATTTTAAATAAAGTAAAATATTAATTTATGTCCAACACAAAGTTCCTATGTTTTCTTTATTTATTGTAAGGGTAGGGTACCTTTTTTGGGTCGCGGCTACTACTGACCCACAGAAAAATCAGTTGGGGACCACACAACACCTCATTGATGTGGCCCCCAACTAAGACAGTTCACTCATCTGGGACAGCGAGGACTGAGATTCAGGGCTTCTCATAGGCCAGATTAAATCTTGTGGAGTTACAGGGTTACTGGATTTTGTGGAGTCCACCCAAGCTCTGGGGTTGGGACAAAATGAGGGGTTCAGTGTGTGGGACAGGGCTGCTAGCAAGAGGGATAAGGGTGCAGGATCTGGGCAGGAGGTAGGGTGTAGAGGGGGTGAAGGTGCAAGGTCTGGGTAGGAAGGGGGGGTGAAGGTGAAAGGTCTGGCTAGGAGGTAGGGTGCAGGAGGTAGGCTGGGAGTAGGGTGTATGGCCAGGGGGAGGGGGCAAGAGCAAGGGAAGATGCAGTGTGTGGCCAGGAGGGAGGGTGCAGGATCAAGGGTGAGTGCAGGAGCAAGGGAGGGTGCAGGAGTGGGCTGGGTGTAAGTGTCTGGCCAGAGGAGAGAGTGCAGGAGCAGGCTGGGGGTGTGGGATCTCAGTGGGGGAGATAGCGAGGGGGCTAGGGTGTAGGGATCTGGGCATTTACTTGCTTTCATGCCCTGCGCTGGTCCCAGGCAGTGTCTCCTGCTGCTCCCATTGGCCAGATTCTGACCAATGGGAGCAGCAGGGAAAGCCTCCAAGCAGTGCATCTGTGTGTTGCTGTACCCTCCAGCCCAGAGAGGGGGAGCGCTTCTTCCCCATGAGATGGATTGCACAGCAACACTCAGGGCTTTCTCTCCTCTCTTCACCATCCCTCCTCCCCAAGCAGGAAGCTGGCACCGGCGCTCAACCACATGGGGGAGGGATGGTGAGGCTGGAGTGCCAGTGCGGGAGAGCTGAGCTCAATCTGTGGACCACCTGGCAGGCAGCTGCAGACCACTATTGGTCCATAAATCACAGTTTGAGAACCACTGATCTAGACCATCCTTGACAGGTGTTTGTCTAACCTGCTCTGAAAGATCTCCAATGACAGAGATTTCACAACCTCCTGAGGCAATTTATTCAAGTGGTTAACTACCCCAAAAGTTAGGGAGTTTTTCCTAATGCCCAACCTAAACCACCCTTGCTGCAATTTAATCCCATTGCTTATTGTCCTATCATCAGAAGTTAAGGAGAACAATTTTTCTCCCTCCTCCTTGTATCAACATTTCTGTATTTGAAAACTGTTATCGTATCCCCTCTCAGTCTTTTCTTTAGACGAAACACACGTTTTTTTTAATCTTCTCTCTCAGGTTATTTTTTCTAGACCTTGAATCATTTTTGTTGCTCTTTTTGGACTTTCTCCACTTTTTCCACAACTTTGCTGAAATGTAATACCCTCAACTGGAAACAATACTCCAGCTGAGGCCTAATCAGCATAGAGTGGAAGAATTACTTTTTGCATATTGCTCACGACACTCCTGCTAATATAGCCCATGACATTTACTTTTTTACCAATAGTGTGACTCTGACTCAGCTTCTGGTCCACTATGATCCCTTATCCATTTCCGCAGTACTCCTTCCTAGGTAGTCATTGCCCATTTTGAATGTGAAACTGATTTTCCTTTCTAAGTGGAGTACTTTACATTTATCCTTATTGAATTTCATCCTGTTTACTGAAACCTACTCATGTCTTAGAGCTCACAAAACAATTCTCATACTAGAAAATTTGACTGCTCACATGGGCTAGGTGGGAAACCAGCAATCCACACTGGATTGTGAAAGCCATGATTTTCCACTACCTATCTCCTGCACTTGTCTTTAGATTGTAAGAGCTGTTGGACCGAGTTGTGTTATATGCTGTCAGTAAGGTCACAAAGTAAAAGCAATCCCAAAGTTCTAAGTAGCTGTATTTAGCAGGGATACTTTCACTTGCTTCATTAATGTGTTCTTCTCTTCAAACAGCACAACACTCAGTCCTATGACTACTGAAGGAAATGCATACACGATGCCTTCAGTGCAGAAGCTTCTGAGAATGAAAAAGATGTCTTGAAACGTTGCAAACCTAAACCTCTTTTCTATCCAATGATGTAGAATAAAAGGATTTTCACTGCTAGCGGAGGACATCATCAAAATAAAAACCTCAATAGTTAACTCTAGTCATGAAAACCCCTAACTTCCTGGATAAATCATAAATTCCAATCTGCCTAGATCTAAATGTGTAGTTCTGATGTATCTGTGAGACTCTGTCAGTCATCTGGAGGAGAACTGGTGGCAAACTGAGAGGCTGATCAACCAGAAAGAGACATCAAAGACTATATTCTGTAGCAAAACATATGGGCTGTGTCTAGACCGGCCAGTTTTTCCGGAAAATCAGCCGCTTTTCCGGAAAAACTTGCCAGCTGTCTACACTGGCCGCTTGAATTTCTGCAAAAGCACTGACGATCTCATGTAAGATTGTCAGTGTTCTTGCAGAAATACTATGCTGCTCCCATTCGGGAAAAAGTCCTTTTGCGCAAAACTTTTGTGCAAAAGGGCCAGTGTAGACAGCACAGATTTGTTTTCTGCAAAAAAGCCCCGATTGCGAAAATGGCGATCGGGGCTTTTTTGCGGAAAAGCGCGTCTAGATTGGCACGGACAGTTTTCTGCAAAAAGTGCTTTTGCGGAAAAGCATCCTGCCAATCTAGACGCTCTGTTTCGAAAATACTTTTAACGGAAAACGTTTCAGTTAAAATCATTTCCGGAAAATCATGCCAGTCTAGACATAGCCATTAAGAATCATATCTGCTTAGTTCAAACTTTCTAGGGAGTGGGCTAATTGTGTTGATTTTGATTTGTTGGACATATTTTAAAGAGATTCATGTAATTAGTTTTGTTCAGTCTTCTTATTGGTCTCACAAGAATGACTCAAAATTGAGAAACATACATAAAAGAACAAAACAATGAAACTGGTTAAAATTACCAGTATAAGGCAAATCTGCCCGAACACTGTTACCAAAAAAAACCCAACCTTAAATTATTTAGAAGTTTGGCATAATGCAAGCCTATGAAAGTGAAAAATCATGTTCTCACTTTCCTTCAAACTTGTGTCCTATCTTCAATTAGATAGTCAATTGTTCACAGCAGGGCTTGTGTCTTCCTACTACATCTGTGTGTACAACCCCTAGCACTGAGGGGCTTTGGTGCCCATTATGACCTTTGGTCACTACAATCAACATATCCACTCTCCTACAAGCACCTAAAAATACATGCAAATAAACTAGAGCTTGTCAGAAAAACAAAAGCTTTCCCGTGGTAAACTCAGTGGGAAAAATCATTGCTCCCATTCATTTTGAATTTTCATTTTTAATTTAAACAATGTTTCATTTCAAAATATTGATTCAAAATGTCTTTTACTTTGGTTTAAAGTGTCATTTTGGTTTTTAGAAACTGAAAAAAAAATCAGTTTTCCATTTTCAGATTGTGGATAAACAGTCTTTCTCCTTTGTTTTTTCTTCATCTTCGCATACTTTTTTCTTTCTAGAGAAAGGGAGGGGAAAGTACAACTGAAAGTTGAGGGAAACCTGAAAATCCAAAGCCAGAAATGGAAATATTGAGATTTTTGTTTAAAAAACTGAACTAAAACAACATTTTAAGTTGAAATGAAATTAACAATGTCGCTACAAAGGGTTGGTCTGAAATGGATCATCACTGATTCTGAGGCTACAGAATTTGGTAATTTTATAAGGTGCAAAGATCACCCATTTGCTGCAAGAAGGTGCCTGGCATTTTCTCCCCTCTAGGCCTGCCAGCAGCTGCTTTGGATTCCCCATTGATCCCCATTTAAATGGATTACAGTCATATAATTCATATTTTGTACAGTGTCCCATGGAGTCAGGCAGCAAGGAGTTAGGGAGCCAGCTTGTATTGAGGCAGTCTGATGTGTAGGTTGAAAAGCTTCCTGGAGATCAGTATGGTGGCCAAGAATTGGGAACCAACTTGGAGAAGCAGGAGGCTGACCTGCTAAAACAGGCTCTGCACTCTTTTGCCCTGGTGGCATACACAGGGAGTAGTTTCTGTACAGGGCAGCTGGGACAACATGGGTATGTCGACACAGCAGGGCTAAGGTCGGAATAAGCTACACAATTTCAGCTATGTCAATTACTTAGCTTCAGTTGAAATAGCTTATTTTAGCTTTTGGTGCTCTCTATACAGCAGGCAGTCGAAGGAAGAATATTCTTCCTTCAACTCCCTTACTCCTCGTAAAATGAGGGTTGCCATGAGTCAGAGAAAGAAGTCCTCCAGCTCGACATTATTTCGAAATAAAGGCTTGTAGTGTACAGATGCTCTTAACGCTGCTGTGCTCTCAGATCTTTTTCCCTTGCAGAAGGATGGGTGCAGTTGGCCTCAGTTTTCTTTTTCTTCATGGGGTGTGATTTGACCTATAGCTCCATTGTTCCTTTTCAATCTCTTTACAAAATGGGAAAACAAATGGATGCTGAATTAAAAATAGGGATAATGAAGATATGAAGGTGAGAAGACAGATTTGGGGATAGTGCTCAGGCCCTGAAACAGCCAGTCCACATCTGTGCACCATACCAACACTCAGATACTACCTTGTTCTCAACTTTCATGTGTTCAAAAAGGAAATATCTAGCTATTGTGCTGGTGAAGAAAATCTCAAAAGTGCACACTGAAGCCAGGTTTATGCTACACACTTACTTCAGTTTAACTTACAGCACTTAGGGGTATGAAAAATCCACACCCTGAGCATAATTATACCGACCTTAACCTAGACCATATAGACACAACTATGTTGTCAGGAGAAGCTCTCCCACCAACATAGCTACTGCCTCTCACAGAAGTGGAGTAACAATGCCAATAGAAAAAAACAACAAATGGTCCAGTAGCACTTTATAGATTAACTAAACTTGTAGATGGTATCATGAGCTTAAGTGGGCACAGCCCACTTCTTCAGATGAGTTAGTCTATAAAGTGCTATCAGACCATTTGTTGTTTTTTTCTGTAACAGACTAACTGAGCTACCCCCTGATGCTCCTATGCCAATAGAAGAGCTCCCACAAGTGTAGCTTCTGAGTGACTCTGAAAAGAGACTGGATAGCTCTGAAAGGTATAAACCATCCCATTTGTTATATTATGATGTAAACTCAGGTGCCCAATGATGATCATTTAAATGGGAGCTTTGTTAACTATTCCATGCCTCATGCAAGAACAGAGGACAGATTACAAATCTGCACGACTTACTCTGATGACACAGTGGGTCACATTTGGAAAATAGCATAACTTTTTTTCTTCAATCACCAAAGAGCCAAGCACAAAGATCTAGCAGAGCTCATAGGCATATTCAAAAGCCTTACAAAGGGGAACCTATTTCAAGGCGCCCAACAGAGCTCAGAGGACACACAGAGTCATATTTTCAATTAGGGTTGCCAGATACCTTCACAAAAAATCCCGAACAGGCAGGGAGAAATTGGTTGAGGGGGGGAAAAAAAGAGGTTGTGCCTTTAAATTACCGTGCTCATCACTTTCCCTGCCCTTGCAGATGCCGCTGGCCACCTTTTTAAGGAAAAAAAGGCTGCTGCGCCTTTAAATTACCGTGCTACTCACTCCCTCTGCCCTCACAGACGCCGCTGGCCGTCTGTCCGAGGAAAGCAGAAAATACCGGACATTTTACATGTCCGGTATTCTCTGAGTTTTTTACTGGATGGAAGGCCAAAATACCAAACTGTCTGGGTGAAAACCAGACACCTGGCAATCCTATTTTCAGTATCTGCACAATCTACAGTTAGCATCATCCCATTTTGGTAAATCACATTGAGATTATATTGTAGTAGGTGTTTAGAAGAATTACACCATTTCCCCCTTGTTTGACCCTCAGAGCGGTGATTATGTTTTACATGGGAGAAACTGAGACTATGTCCACACTGCAGAGTTTTTGCACAAAACCAGCCTTTTTTTCCACAAAAACTCACAAAGCATCCACACCTGAAGCGTGTTTTTTCACAAGAAAATGTAGAGTGAATCGACAGAACAGAGGGGTTTTTGTGGTACAAGTATTGCTCTTTCTACGAGGAATGACTCCTTTGTGCACCAGAGCTCTTGCGCAAAAAGGTGCATGTGGACGGGAAATGCACAAAAACAGCCTATTGAAAGAAGCACAGGTGCCCTGGTGCCCATTCTGTTAATGGCAATCAGAGGTTTCTTGCGAGAGAGCATCCATGCAGTCTGGTTGCCCTCTTGATCAAAAGCGCATTGCTTTTCTGATGCACTTTTGCAGTGTGAATGCTCTCTTGCACAAGAAGTTTTTGCAGAAGATCTCTTCCGCAAAAAGCTTCTTGCACAAGAAGCCTGAAGTGTAGATGTAGTCTGAGGGGTTGTGGTAAGCAAGGACATATTTCCTCCCTCAGCGGTTCCTCCCTTCCAAACTTTTCTCCTCTTATCTCACTCTCTCATCCTTTCAGACTCAAAACAATTTAGCTGTGATGGGTAGATTAGCAGGCCTTGGTGTCCTGCTACAATTGTCCCAGGAAAAGAACAGCAGAGAAGCCCCCCATGAAGCCTAGAATGGCTGCAATAGAAGGAGACAATCAGGGTCCAGTAGGGCAATATAAAAGGAGCTGTAGAGCCATAAATGGTTACTACCTTGCTGGAGCTTGAGGAGCATATGGGGTGCTCCTAGCTGACTGGCTACAGGGAACTGCAGTACCATCCAAAGCTCACAGTGCTGGCCACAGTGGGGCAGTAAGGATAGTTCCAGGCTGACTATTGGGCCTGAACTTAGATGAGCCCTGAGATAGGGGTGAAGCTTTGGTGAAGAGTGGGCTGTGGGGAAGTGGCCCAGGGAATTGAAAGCAATATAGTTAAAGGGACATGGTGGTACATGGCTGCTATTCTTAGGGTCCATGGACTGGGACCCAGAGTAGTGGGTGGGCCTGGGTCCCTTCCTTAGAACACTGGGAACTGGCCTACAATTGGACAGTGAGAAACCCCCAGAAGGGGAACTGAACTATTTAGTGTCCAAGTTGGGTAGGGATGTTAGTGAGTAGTTGACTGGATTAGTGTTTACCCCCTTCCATCCTGCAGGATGGACCTGGCTGTGGCACCAAGAAGGCAGGATAAGGGATGTCTCAGTGGGAGGACTGTGGAGTGGGATCTGGAGTGGCCTTAGGGCTAGGTCAATCACCTACAAAGCACAGGGTGGTGGGTTTGAATTCCAGGTCTGCCAGCACCAGGGAGGCTGCTGCAAAGCAGACCCTGTTTGTGGCTAACGGGCTACTGGACTCAGTAAGAGCCAACACTGAGCAGTCCCAGCTCACCCTGGTCCAGGATGCTGTGCCTCT